CATCTACAAACAGATGGCCCGTGTGGGCCACGTAGATGAGAATGTGAAGGATACGAAGGATGCATGAGCCGAGTCGCCCCCACCAATGCTGGGCAAACGTGGCCCCAAATGGGCATGTGCGATAGAAGTAGAGGGCATTGGACCCGTCTGGTTCTTCACATGTGAACCCAAGCAAGCCTTGTTCCGCATCTTTGACCACGCAGCGCTTGTGGGCACTCTTAATATCTATCGAGAGCGCACCTTGAATCTGCGAGCACTCACGCAAAGGATAGGAATGCAACACATCGCGAGCTGAAGGCATATGCTGCTTCTCTGGCACCGAACAGTTCGCATTGGTGCCACACACTGAGTTGTCGAGACAAAGCCTTTCTGATCTACCTGGGGCCCTAACCACTGCAAGTTTCCCAAGCGCAACCCCCATGGGCCAACGTTGCTGGGCATCGGCCAACGATCCCTGGAACCTGAAACAAAAACCCTGATCAAGTTCCTCCTGAAGCAGCCTGCGGGTAACGGCAGGTTCCACCGTAGCAGAGCGCCAATTCTGCAAATGAATCGAGAGTGGTATATCATCTAAAGATTCACGAATGTTGGGCCAAAAACTATGCGATGGCGGAATGTCCGACTGGAAACCCGTTGGTACGCCTGCTTTCAAGGATGGGAAGAGTGTTGTATCTGCATCTAAGCATACTTGAGCGACGGCTTCCAAAGCATTTAAAGCCAAGGGTTGGTGTGCCCTCTGTAGCCAAGCGTTGTCTGGAGCTGGAATGCCTAATGCCGAGAAAAAACCTTCCCTAACCCGAGCAACTTCTGAAGCGGAAAAAAGCGGTTCTTTACTGGGCTCATAGCGACGTTGAAGGAGGCGGGATGGACCGCTCATAGATGCGGTTGCCTTAAGCAGGAAAGAACGCAAGTTCCGCAACAGATCTGGCGTGCAGGGTGCACTCCAGTCAGCGTGCGAATGACGACCTGCCCCATCATGAACTGCATGGGGTAATTGATCCATAGGCTTACATGGCACCAATGTGAGGGCATCACGCAATGTCAATGCAGGGCCTGACTTGGCCAGAAGCACTTGAATCTGAGCTGCAAAAGTGGTTGCAAGTGCCTCAGGATACTCAGCTGTTTGCCTGCTTTTAAACAAGCCGGAATTGTCGAGGCCGCGCATGACTGGATGTGCATCTCTTCCATGCTCGCAAACACAACCCATATTGCGCAGTGGCGCAAAGCTGGAAGCAAACAACCATGATTTTTTCCAGGGGAGGCCATAGCCACATGCAGCCACCCAGATCATGGAAGCTGAGCACTCATGAAGCCAAGACTGTAGGCAACTCTCTTCCCAGGACATTGCTCCTGGAGGCTGTTCGATATGACCGTGCCCACCAGCTGAATAGACTATGGACACACATTTGCAGCAGCGAGACAGGATTTCGTGACTTTCCTGAAGTTTAGCCAGGTCCGAAGGACCCAACCCGGGAACTCCATCCAAGTGTTCCGGCGTGCGGATCGGGAAGGGTGGCCCACCTGAAAGCTTCAAGCGCGAGTAATGCGAGCAGCTAGGGGCTGCCGCGCAGTAACCCACTGCGCCTGAACCGCAAATGAACAGAAGCTGCTCAAAGAAATCGTCTTGGAGTAAGTCAAAAGCTGGGTCCAAAAGAATATCAATGGAAAGCGTAGCCAGGCCACACGCCTCCACTGCACATGAAAGCGGTTTGGTCACACCCGAGCAGATGTCCAGGAAAAAGCGCTGAGGGATGTTCGCTAGAGCATCCAGTGCATGCGAGGGGCTACGTGGGGCCGGGGCGGGAACCGGGGGCCTTAGGGAATGGTGCCTAAACCCAAAAGCCGAAGGTTGACCCCAATTGACTGTATTTCCTGAAGCGGCTGGTGACGGCTCGGCTCGCTGCGTCATCACAGGGCGCACTGAAGATGCCTGGGACGCAGATTGAGAAATAGGGAATTCAAGCGGACCCAGCAGGGCATTATCACAGTTTGCCATAGTGAAGGCAGTCAAGACCCATCTTTCGCCACAAAAGGGTTCTGTCATACGCCAAGAATGCGCTGGGAATTTGATGGGGTTTTCTTTCGTGCAAAGGAGTTTGCCCTTAAGCTGGGAATTAAGCGTTGGTATGAAGCGCAGATGATCGCCTGATGCATCCTCAAGCCAAAGCGAACCTCCTGTGAAGGAACCCAAGCTAACCGAAAGATTGAAAGACCCCAACACATTAGCTGTATCCCGATGAGCCGAGGTGACCACATTCTTAGCCACGCACAGCGAGTTCCAGGATTCGGTTGGGAACTGTAAGCGCAAGAATTTGTTCAGAGCTTTGCATACAGCCGGCAGAGCTCGAGACACCCGAGTGAGTGCCGTGCGATCGCTGACCTGGCAACCAAAGTTCCAGTAGCCTGATGAAACAGAGTTTGCTGACACTACTGAGCGAGACTGCGCGCTCGGTGGTGGCCAACAAGCTGACTGAAGTAACGCGAGGCATGAAGCGTAATCATGAACATGCACTTCAGAAGCAGAGGCTACCGAAGTGGCCGGAACCTGTAGAGCACCATTAGGCATATTGTGAAGCGAAGCTGGAGCCTGACGCACGCCCGCAAGATGCGGATCATTGGGAGCCGGATGCTCCGAAGCAGTGCCCAACAAGGGTACCACGCCCGGGAAAGATTCCCTGCCAGAAGCCCCTCCGAACACCGGAGACGAAGCCGAGACGCATGATGATGGAAGCGAAGCTGAGTGCTGTGATGCCAAAATGGCTGATGGAAACTGGCCCCTACACGGGGAAGCAGAAGCATTCTGAGAACCCGCAAGAGACACTGTATGATGTGGCTGGCCCTGGCCTGAAGGCTGAAAAGTACTAGATGTAGACGAATTCGACTCTGCAAATTGTGGTAAAGAACTCTGCGATTGAGCTGGAGCGGCTGGTCCTAAGGAACCCGCCGGCTCTGAAGCCGGTGAAACTAGCCTGAGTGCAAATTGTCAGTGCGCAGTCGATGCGTGATTCATAGCATTATGGGACTTGCTCATGCAGGCGGAGCCATCCCCCTTCGGATACGCACAGTTGTGCAAGAATGCACAGCTCGCACCCCTGCTGCATTTCCCTGATTGCCACTGCATGCACAATTGTTTGGTCTCGCCATTGACCTGAACATGCTTCACCCAGGAGCCCGCACCCCCTTTGCCCGAGGGTTTGCCTTTTGAGCCTTTTTCCTTGCCGGGGCTTTTGCCTTTGCCCTCAAAGCTGTGGCCCTTCCAAGCTTCCGACATGAAGCGACCAAGCCCTTTACCTTTGATGCCTTTCTCATTGAAGCGCAAGGGCGGGGGCGGCCTAGCCCTAGCCTGCAGCAAGTTTGACATGTCACCCCTAATTTCAGTATACTCGAAGATTGCATCGTTCAAGCTCCAATCCTTTTCAAGAACCAGGGCATAAATCCCCTGCCACAATTTGCAATCAGCCTGCTGGGCCTCTAGAATTGTGGGAGCTCGCAAGCCTGATGAAGCTTCGTGGCGCTGAGACAAAAGATGCATGAACTTGCTACTGTAAGCTTTCAAGCGAGCCAAGTGACAAGAGCCTACCATAGCCAGTGCAACATCGTGGATCGCTAGGATCCTTTGCACTGCACTGACACCCATGAAATTATCGCCCACCTCCAACGTGGGCGGCTCATCAAGAAGCAAACTGGAAATGCCGAGAGCTTCCAAACGCGGTTGTTTGGCTGGCCTACTCAATTGAAGCTCGGCCGCTTTCTCTTCTGACATGCGATGCTTCCAGGGGATCCACTTGTAGTCTTTCTTACTTTCTTGATGGGCAGCTAGGGATACCAGACGAAGCGAAGGCATTGAGCATGGAGACAATATCTCGCTCGTGTATGCAGCAAGAAAGGCTTTCTTGTACTCCGTAAGCTTCAAGGCAGTGATCTTTGGAGCAAAGGTTTCTACCCAAGAACTGGTATCTGAAGCTGATGCGGGAACTGCAGGCGGGGCCGAAGATGCGCTGCTCGACAACCCAGCCCATGCTGCCCGAACTTGCGCAATCTGAAGACGGGAAAGCTCTGAAGATCCAAATATTTCTGGAAGCACTTTCTCAAGATCAGCTGGGGAATCCGCCGCATGGCGAAAGGTGGACAAAGTCCACCCCGCATCGGTTGCCACCTTGATGAGAGCTTCCGAGAGGCCTTCAGCTTTAAGAATATCACTCAGGGACATGGCGCGAGACTACCCCCTAGTCAAGAGAGCCTAGAACCGAGGGAACCCGAGCCGAGACTACAGGGACGCGCGAGGCCTAGGCCCAAACCCTGAAACAAGTACGCATATTCAGCATTGTATGGCCGGGTCGGCTAGTAGCTCAGCAACCGACCGCAGCCCAGGATAATGGTAACGCATAGATGCAGCCCAAAATGCTTTCTGAAGCAAAGAAGAACAAGCGACAGTGCGCATATTCATCAGCGTGACCCAAAGTGCGAAAGCCCACGGCTGAGGCCCGGACTAGAGCCAGAGACTGAGCACAACCAGAGAAGCCCCACGGAACTGAAAACCCTGAGTAGCAAAGCTGTTGCACGCAGCCCCCAAGGAATCTTTTCAACCGCTCACCTGCGAGGCATTCGATTTACTGATACAACGGAACTCTGAGACGGTGCCAATAGTAGTCTGATGTTTGCAACAGCTGCCGCCATGACCAGCTGGAGAGATATTGAAGCACACGCGCTGATTCTCGTATTGATTGCACCAGATAAAACCAGTCTGCAAAATGGAACCGAACAAAGCGAGATGCGTAGGGAAGCCGCACCAGCCTGAGGAGTTGGGCCCGTCGAGCCGCGGTGGATTCCTGCAGTTCCATGCTATTGCAGAGCTAACCTGAGCGTCACAAAAGCAACCCGTGTTTGAGCCAATAACTTACCCGCGACCATGCTGCACAACCTGGGAATGCAAGCTGACGCATAAGAACATGCAACCGAGAGAAGCTGCTTATATTTTTCAGCAACTCGCAAAATGCGACTCACTGTTTAAGCTGGCCATACGCTATGCAGCAAGCCCTACGCTTGCAAAGCTGAAGCTTGGGATTGAAATCCGATGAGATGCGAATGCTATCGGCCGGAAGCGGAACCCCACATGCTGGCCTGACAAATGCGCCCTCATAAGGGATGCCCTTGGATGCAGAAGCACGAACCAGGACATGCTGAATATTTGTCAATGCCCCGAAGAGGAATTCGTCCGCGGGACCCAGCGAAGGCCCTTCATCCCCAGAGCTGTCGCCCGACTCCTCATCGGAAGACTGGATATCACGCAGCACAAAAGACGGCTCCTGTTTCTGCTTTTCCGGCTGAAAGCTCTCATGCGAAGGAAGATCCACAAAAGGAAGTCGGTTGCCAGAGCGAAGCGAGAAATGCCGAAAGTAATGCCAGTTGCAAGGCCCAACCTCTTTTGAAAAGTTTTCCAAATGGACCTCCGGTTCATCCATGGGGGACTGAGCTCCCCGGTGTAAGGGAGTCATAAAGCGAGCACCTGAGCGAACTGCATGCTGTATTTTCATCTGCGCCCTCAAGGAAGGGACGATGTCGTCCCTACTGTAGAGTTGGCTCGAAGAGAGCCGATGGTGGCATTGGCAAGATTTCTCAATCTGCGATACCTCCGGTCGCTGACCTGACCACGATAGCAATGTGGTTTTGAGAGAGTGTATTGTATAATTCAGGGCCGGTGAAGAAACTGCAGAGGGCCGACTATTCTTCCAGGGCAGAGTTATCACGTGGCGCAAATGCCGAAGCGCAGCAGCGTAGCTCATCGGTTGCAATGGTAGAAGAATATTTCCTGCGCTGTCCAACGAAAGCAAGAGGCTCGAGGGCAAAGGGATCCCCGCGTGAAGAGCAAGATGCTGATGTACTGCATTGTCTAGTGCCTGCAAAAATCGATGACACCAAGAATGAGATCCGTGACTCAAGAATCCATGGCAAAGCAACCCGAATGGTTGTCCAAAACAAGTGGTTTTTGTCTGGAAGCAACTCCCTCGCAGCGATTGGCCATCATACGCCAAGGAAGTAAAATGGACCCTCTGAGCGTCCATAAACCTCAGCGATGCCCAGATGAGCACGAGGAAGGAACCAAGAAGCAGGATTTCAGCGTCCGAGGCCTCTCGAGAGAGAATTCTTCTTTCCATTTGGATCACCACATATAGTGATAGCGGTACCGCTTCCTTCCTTTCTCGAGGAAGCTTACTCTTCAGAAAACTGGTAATAATTTGGGAATGGCTCACTGAAAGACATGCCACCTCCAGCATTTTGTAGACCCAGCGAACCGCTTTGATCGCTGTCGAAGAATGAGAACCAGATTCAGGATCAGAGCTACGGGCCAAACTCATCACGACCAATGCATCAGCCATTTGAAATGACGTGAGTGAGTCCAGCGAAATCTGCATATCACTCAAAGTAGCCAGAAATTGCTTGAACGCAGAGCAGTAGCGTATCACTGTCGATGCCACGCACAAAGATAGTAACCGAGGCAAGTGATCCTGCTTGCTCCCTGCGAGGCCCTGGCCTATTTCACTAAGAGACCCCAAAGACAAGATAACGGCAAGGAATGCCTGCTTTGCAATTGGAGAAAGTGAAGCATTTACGCTGATGCCCGCTTGAGCGCGTTGCCTTTCAGAAGGGGCCTGGCCTAGCTTAAAACCTGAAGACTTAAAAGCGGCAGCAGCTTTCTGAAGATCATCAAGTTCTAAAGAGGCAGGCGGACCTAAACCCAAAGAACCCCCTAAAGAGGAGGCGGGCCCAGAGCTCGAGGCCTGAACCGGTAGAGCATCAGGCTCCCGGCTTGAAGGAGGCTCAGGAAGATCCAGGCCTTTGGCGGGCAGAGGCGGGGCTGAGGATCTACATTTAGGGTTTGGTACCGGAAGAGCGACACTTGAAGCTGGCAGTGTGGGAAACTTAAGCGCGGGATTGCAATCGGCATCCGCAGGACGCTTCATACTCACAAGCCGGCCGTCTCAAGAGCAGCAACCCTAGAACGCAAGGAGTTAATCTCGTCCCTAGCTTCCTCAAGTGCCCTAAGAAGCAGCAAGTTGCAGCGATTGAGGCGTGTGATCTCACGCTCACAGCGGGACACACGCAACAGTGCACGCTCAACTCGAGAGAGACGTCTGCCGAACTCGTTCAACCAACGGCAGAGCAAATCGAGATAATGCTGGTGGCCAACACTCTGCACTGAAAGAGCATCAACGGTATCCGCTAGCCCCGCACTCGAAGCCATAAGCCCACTTGTGGGGCTGAAGCACCCCCCCCGGCCGCGAGGAGACTACAAAAGAAGGTTGTGCGAAGTGATGTTGTAAAGCTGTGAAATGTTGCCTGCAAGGAAGTCTGAGACTATGTCAGTAAAATGCAAAGCATGCAGACATGAAAACGCATTTCGAAAAGATGCCTAGCCAGCACAACTGAGCCAAATGTTCGCACGAACATAAAGTAGTAAAACAGATGTGAACAAGTACACTAACCAATACGATGAGCTCAAGAGCATCGGACCATGGTGGGCAGACCATTGCTCCGAACAGATGCCGTCAGCGACTTACGAGTCGAAGAAATGGTGCGCAAATTACGGCCGAGAAATCGAATCGGCACTTCGAAAAGTGGCAAGGCGAAATCTGCCACCAGAGCCTCCCAAGGCTAGATCTTCTCACAAGAAGTCTTTTTCTCTGCCAAAGACAGAGGCTGACACAGCTCCAAACCTGGAGCAAACCGCTTCTGCAGGTGAGGTACCTCCGAAAACGGAGACTACTGCAAAGGAGATCCATCCGAGATCCAAGCTCGCCCGGCAGGCCGAGGCTGACAAGGATCCGGACAGTCTTATGGGACAGCTCTGGAACTCCGACGGCACCAGAAGCGCCACCGAAGTTCTTAAGATAACGACAGGTCACAAACCTCCAGAACCTGTTCAGGATACTTCCGCCAACGTAGTTCCTCCCAAGGAAGAATCTTCTGGAACAGAGACGGAACCTGAGGAACCGGATCCTAACCAGGATCGTGACGAAGAATCAGACGATATCGAGCGGCATCAAGCGAAAAGAGCTCAAAATCTTCGTCATCCTCAGAACTCCGAGTTGATGTTAATCCGTCTCACAAGACGAACTCTGCACCTGCAGCGTCGGAGGAGAAGAAAGAATCTCCCACGGAAGAGATCACAGAGAAACTTAAGAAGGTCAAACTTGACCAACCAAAGCCTGAAGCAGAATATGTTCAGAGTTCAGACGAAGAGCCACAGAAACCAAAATCTCCTAAAAAGGAGAAGGAGAAATTCCTAGTTCTCTTCGATCCTGAAACAGAAAGTTATTATCGAGTCAACAGAAGCAAGCTCAACCTCGAATACGAGGAACCTGCTGATGAGGAAGATCTCGTAAGAGAACATGAGCGCATCAGCGCTCGACTTCGAGAAAATCGCAAGCACCGAATCTCGAAGTCATCGTCTAACCCGGCTATGCAACAGGAAATGAAAGAGAGAATCTGGGTTAGTCGATGGAATCGAAAAATCCGAAGTCCACTCATGATCAAGGATTCTGAGGCTCCTGACGAAGAGGAGTGGGACAGACCCAGAGATTCGGCATCTTCCTCCTCTGCACCTCCTACCAAGGAGAGATTTGTAGGAGTACGCAGGACAGCCATGAGTCTTAACCAAAGGATACGGCTGATGACACGACCAGATAATCCTCTCTGCGATCTTTGCAACCAGCCTACAGGCTATTTTTGCTATTCCTGTGGTACGATTGTATGTGCAGACTGTCGACTTACCCCACAGGGTAAACAACAGATGTGCGAGTGCATCTTGCCAATCGATTGCCTCGAGACCTCTAAAGTGTCAGCAGGAATGATCTCAGAAGAGCGTCAGGTTTTATACGAGGCCATCCTCACACATGAGGACGTAGATTTGGCAGTCCAGAAAATCAACATGTATTGCGACCACGCAAGGAATTCGTTCATGAGAGCCCATCCAGGCGTTGATCCATGTAGCTTTGATGATATTAGGAATAATCCTCCTAATACTTACACCAGCTCCACAGAGGCTCCAACCCTGGAGGAATACAAGAGCATCAACAAGGGTCACATCAATATCAAGGACTCCAGAACAAGCCACCCGGCGTCTTTTCTCTCTCTTACTGGCTACGAAGACAAACTGGTGCTCGACGCACATTACGAGATAGTTCGTAATAGGATGGCCGGTGTTAACGAAAAGAGAGAACACATAGAGGGCTCAAACCCAGACAGCGTATCACTAAGCCTCGTGGTATGCAACTGGGGAAATATGGATCGAGCGCCGGTGCCAGCAGGGAATCCCAAAAAGAAACTCAAACCTGAGAAGGGATTCGATTACCACCCTCTTATTGACATGTTCTTCAACAATTCAGCACATATTACCCTCGTACTCGAGGCAGGAGCACTTGCGTCAAAGTATTCGATCGCAACCATGCGACAACATGAATACAGAGGGATGCTAATCAATTCTCCTCCCAAGGAGCCTGAGGCACCCTCAATGTATATTGGAGTCAAGGGTGACCCAACAACAGACATCTCTCTCGTCCACCACTTTTACCGTCACCGAACAATGAAGCCTAAGGCTGGTGGTCCCAAGAAGCGACTGTGGGCATGCCACGGTCCGGTATGCCGCCTCACCTTTGGGTACCACAGTACCATCAAGGAGGCAAAAGAATGGGTCCACCCATATTCCGGCCAGAGGATGACGAGAGATGAGTACATGAAGATTATCGGATATGACCCTCTCAAGGGTAAAAATCCTGACAAGGATGGACCCACTGATGGCTCTTACCTCTCCCCAGAGGCGTGTCTGACACTGTCGGACCTCGACCCTTCGCCGGTTCTCTGTGAATGGAACGGCCATGTCGAGGGTGATGAGCCACCAGAGGAAGACTTTGAGTCATACGCAGAGATCTTCTCACAAGAAGCATCAAACGATCTTGACGAGATGTGGTGTACGAGAGGGCCTTACAAGGTCATCACCATCGCGATCGTCCATTTCAACTGATACATGACTCATAAGGAAGAACAGAGGCGCGAACTGGTGAACGCGTTCCTCAACGAGGTTCTCCCTTTCAAACCGGATGTAATTGCGGGGGATCTCAACAATATTGCGTCGAAGCTCACCTTAAAAGGTGGAGACGTTCACCCGCGAAACGGTTTGTTTTCTCTATACCTGGAGAAGAAACTTGCAGCATTCAACAGAATAGCAGGAAGGCACTCACAAGTGCGACACCTTTGCTTGAACAACTCTGACCAGCACAGACTGGCACGTGCAGATCGTCTACCGCCGGACCCGGCGAAGAAAGTTGCTGACCTCGACTGTATCAACAGTTATGTCCTTGACTGGAGTAAAACGCCGCACACGGCGTCACCTAGTCCAAGAGATGCCACACCTGCCGCCGAAAGAACATACTGGGAACGAGTCTCAGATATGTGGCAGGACATGAACAGAAACAGGGATATCGATATCCGTCTGTTTGTCTCAGTCAAGCAGTACTATTCAACTTTTTCTAACCTTGACCTGTGGTTGAGTCCCTCTGACAAAGATTGGCACAGCCCTTTGGGCTTCACGATACAACCAATCCTTACAAAAGCGAAACACAACCGGTCAGATGCCCAGGTTCAGAAGATCGCTGACAAGCGACAGGCTTACAAGCAGCGTAATGCTGAATACTGGGATTACAAAGACTCATTTATGTATTCATCTGGCAACAGCTGGTACGACAGACAGCAACCACAAGGTAGCTATCACAGCTATGGAAGATTCTGGGAAAGGCCACAGCCTGAACGTCCCAGCGAGCCTGAAGGCTCTCCTCCAAGAAGGAGCCAGGCATCATCGTCCTCTTCACAACAAGATCTACCAAGATCGAGATCCAGACCTCAGAGAGCCAGTCTTGTTGACAAGCTCAACATGTCTTTAGAGGAACTGGACACACTTGAGGAACAACAAGCGGAAGAACATTTGATCCGTGAGATGGAGAGTGTTATTGAAGAGCACGAACGAGAAACATCAAACCTGATGTCGGCTCAAAGAGATGAAGACGAACAGGAGGAAGAATCTTCCAGTCGCAGAAGAAGAAGGAAGTCATCGCGACCGCCGTCTGCTCCGGGCAGCAAGGCACTCCGAACAGCTGCCACAGCAGCAGGGTTGTCGAACTGGTTCGGACACCCTAATCAAGGCGGTGCAAAGGGAGAGTCTATCAAGACTGATGAACCTTCACTTCCAAACTCACTAACCAGTGAGCAAGACTTCTCCGTCTTCAGCATCGCGGGGAATGTGTTTCTGCTGCTAATGGGCCTACACTGGATGTGGAAGCAGCTCACCAGGGCTCCCATCAGATGTATGGACCGCCAACAATCAAATGCAAAAGCAGCAGCGAAACGACCACCACCATTT